TTTCAGATTTGATTGCATAGTTGTTTATTTTGTGCCATTTGACATATTAATTAACTGTGCAAAAAATCTTTCCGATCAGATAATGTTTAGGGGGTGCTCAATGACTATAAAGTTTTACGAAAAATGTGAAAAACATGGAAAAAGTAACAAAGTTCCACAAATTTCTAAATCCCGGTTAATTAGATTTTTCAGATTTGATCAGTTTTAATTATCTCTAAATATTAAATTCTGAATACAAATTACAATCCACATCCACTTTATACTGGTTTATTAGCAGAGAAATTAATGAAATAAAATACTGCAATACGACAAAAGTTCTGCGGTTTTTGTTATATCAGAATTTTTTCAAAATAAAACACTAAGATTTTTGACTCTTTGTCATTGATTAAAATACGAATTATAAACAAAAAAAATTATTGTAAAGGAGTAACAGTTTCTCAAACCGTTATCAACTACTAAGTAGGTCAACTCAAAAACATATGAGCAATTAACATTTAGTTATCGTAATGTTAAAGTTCGTGCAATGTTAATGCTAGCGAGGACTATAACTCTTCAGAGTACACTTTCTGGCATCTGGCACTCGCTTTCTGTGATCCTCAACCACCTGAATTAACCTCTGCATTTCAGATTCATTCCTTGTAATCGATTCATTAAACATCGACATTAAAGCCACAGATCGTTCGGCAGCATCATTTACTACTTTCAATGAATATACTAAATTTTTTCCTTCTTGGTATTCTGGGGAATCATTCCAGGTAGCTGGATCATTGTTGAACAGAAAATCAATATCAATCTTCATTGACCGCAACGCACTTGCTGAAACTGATGTCACCAGCATGTCCAGAAATTTCTTCTCTAGACTTTCAATGTTCTTTAATTTGATCAACCTTTCAGACCAGTTCTCACCGTGAAATTTCATGTTGGAAATCATTTTTCGCTTCTCTTCCGTTTTAAGTTTGTTTGAAAACAAAGCTAGTGGGACCAATTCTGGTGAAAGGTACCACAAATGGTTTTGAAATTTCTTGACTGCTGCTTCGGAAATCGTTTTATTCACAACTGCAAACTGCTTAAGTTGCTGAAACAGAAACAAGTCATTAACTGGAGCATCGCTGGCATTTGGGCATGATATCCAAGATTTTACATAAACCAGACTAGCAAATAAGCAAAATTCACAGAGATTTTTTTCATGCAGGTTTTCTTTGAGGAATGCCATCACTTCATTTTGTAGTTCTTGCACCAGGGGTATTTTCATTCGAATGTCATCCAGAGGTTTAAAAGTTCCTTGATTAACTTTGGGCCAATATTGCTGAAATCTCTGGAAAAGAGGTATGTTGGGACCAGATGATGGTCCAAATAGTGATCCAAACACTCATGCTACTATGATCTCATGAACATGGTGTCTGCAAGCAAAATATAACAAATTTCTACCTATATGTTTCTCTAGAACTACACATGCACCATTTTCGGAGCTAGTGTTAGAGGCTGTAGTATCAAAACTCATTCCAATAACATCACCAATTATGTCCCAGAAATTAAGCAGATGAATAACTGCTTTTGCTTGGGCTTCTCCAGTTCCAGCTGATAGTTTTGCTATTCCAAGTATTTTGCCAACATTGTGACCTGTCACACCTACAGATAGCCGGTCAACATTTGCTTTAGAGTCTGCAGAATTTGTACGATCTATCATCAGTTTGCCATCCCAGTGGACGATTAATGGTGGTTTGTCTAAATCGCAGAATTCAGTTCGAACAGTGGCTTCAATGTTTGATCGATGATAGGTTCGTTTTCTACGGACTGTAGAATGTGACAATGATCCATCATCGAGGTTCTGTCCACCAGCCCTTGCAATTGCTGCTGCTAGTATAGTAAATTTTGTGTCAGATAGATTAATTCTGTCTAATGTTGATGAAACATCAGGCGAGTCAAAAATTGTATCTAAGATACATTGTCGTTTTGGAGTACTTGCTAAACTTGATTCAGCTGACCCTGAAGAACTTGCTTTACTGACTTGTTGTCTGTAATAAACAGGGATTTCTATCTCAAAATCTCTATCAACCATTTTGTCATTATCAACAGCATCGTTATCGTTGTCATCACTATAACTTTCGTCATGTAAAGGTTCAATAACAGGAACTATTGCACTCGCACCAGATTGTCTTTGCTCTTCTTTTAGCTTTCGTTCTCTCTCTGCTTGTTTCCTTGCTTCATTTCTTGCTTCTAATTTTGAAAGTTCATTGTCCTCTCCAAACATCACCATTTTTCTCTGACATCTCTGATCCAATAAAAATTCTTTATCTTCTTCAATTCTGATCATGGTTTCAGCATCCTTGTGGACAATGTCAAAAAGTAGGCCAATGGTGTCTGTAAATGATTTCTCTCTTGATTTCTGAGAATCTGACAATCTGGATTTATTTTTTTTTTATTAATTTAAATTCCTGGACTAAAGTTTTCAACTTTAAGACCACATTCGGATGAAATGCTGTCGGAATACGGGCTTTATTCCAAATAATAATCAGTTCATCAACAGTTGTTTTAAGACTTTCAGGCACTGACTTTTTGGTTGAATTAAAATGATAAAAAAATGTTTTTAAAACATCAGATGTTAAGGGAAGAACTTTATCTGGAAGATTTGGCTCTGGTTGTCCAATTAAAAAGATTTCGGTTTGAAGTCGTGTAGAGATAGCAACACGAGATGATGCTGCCATTTCAATGATAACTGAAAAATTATGAGAAAATCAAAACTCAATACCATATTATACAAACTTATCATTCAGTTGTTGGTTTATGCAGCTGCAGCAATATATAATAATAATTATTACTAAAGAAATTAAATAAATATTTTCAAATTAGAAATTATTATTATCTGCACTTAATAACAAACAATACACTACCAGACTACCATGCTAGTTTTCTGTAATAGGTTACTAAGGTTAGGTACTATCAAAATATTAATACATTTGTTGTCAAACTGAAATTCCAAATAAAAATAATATTTATACTTGTAAACCTTTTTATTCTGTTTGAACAAATTCTAAATTGAGTTAAATAATAGTATTAAAATTATGAATACAAATTTTAACAAAATGATATAAACACAGTTGTTTTAAACACTAGCAGACATTTTTTAGTCTGGTGCCCTGATGACAGTTAATCTGCTGCACTTTAATTAATCTATATAGCACGCAATCAGACAATATTTCAGTGGAAAAAATCTAACTAACCAGGTTCTAGAAACTTTTGGAACTTTGGAACTTTTTCCACGTTTTTGACGTTTTTCGTAAAACTTTATGGTCATTGAGCACCCCCTAAACATTATCTGATTGGAAAGATTTTTTACACAGTCAATTACTATGTCAAATGGCACAAAATAAACAACTATGCATTCAAATCCAAGAAAAATTTTTTTTTCCTGTGTTCACATGAACAGCCCTAATATATATATATATATATATATATATATATATATATATATATATATATATATATATATATATATATATATATATATATATATATATATATATATATATATATTGTATAACAAGAAATGACTTTTAAAGATATATATATATATATATATATATATATATATATATATATATATATATATATATATATATATATATATATATATATATACATATATATATATATAAAATTTAAGTGACATCTTTAATAGTATGTGAAATTATAAGCATTAAAACATCATATATGGTATCATACTATTTATTTCTTTTCTCTATAAGTGATATTTTGGCTCATATAGTAAGAGCCATTATCAAATTAAGTTTGATAATGGCTCTCACTATATGAGCCGAAGTATCACTAATAGAGAAAAGAAATAAATAGTATGATACCGTATATGATGTTTTAATGCTTTACTTTAACAAAGGCCTTAACACAGTGCAGAATTTTTGACCTTTAGGACACCAATTTTTTTTCATAAAAATGATAGTAGTATCAACTTAAATAAATGTTTCTAATGTGCAACATTTTTATTTTTTTAACATTTGCACAGCATCTTTATTTGTTTAGTGAAACCTAATGAGTGTCTATAACTCAAAGGGTACTTGATGAATCCCTCATACATTGTACACAGTCACCAGAACAAAAAAACAGTTAATCTGATATTCTCAGGGTTTTGGCTAGTAACTCTTAGCTACTAGTCTAAACAGTGTAAAAAAATTTCTTAAATTACCTCTAACAACCATTGGTTTAAGTTGAGAAATTTTTCCCTACAAGGCATTATGGAACCTACTACATCAATAGATTTTTGACAAATATAATTTTTTAAACAACAATAACTCTTTTACAACAGCAACAAACAAATAACAAATTATTAGTTTTATACCAAATGTTTTATAGTCAAGTCCCAATTTAAAGTACTCTGGTACTTAGTTCATTAATTTTATTCAAGGGTTGGATGCTTTTGCATAAAATATAAATCACTAATCTAAATATCACTATCTTAACAATAAAGGATCTTTTCTTTACATGCTTCACCTTTTTTTCTCATGTTCTGTCTCAACATGCCAAAGCCATATCAATATTTATGCATTTATATTTCAACTTCACCTTTTCTAAAATAATGAGTATTTCAAACACCTGCTTAGTTGCCATGCATGTTTTTATACATGTTAGAATTGTAAACTAAACTTGACATGTGTCAACATACTCTTGCTTATTCAAATTAAGCACATTTTCATATTTTAAACTTTTACAAACAACACAAGCCCAGACTACATTCTTACTTTCCAAACTTACTGTAATTTAAAAAAAAAAAAATTCATATAAAGTTTTTTTTTTAAAACATATATTTACTTCTATAAGGCTAAGAAAAACAGTTAAAGAAGTAACTAATTTTAAAAAAATGTTATTACAATCCATTATCAACTCTATGACTTTGAAACATAAACATTGATCATAAAAATAATAACCTTAGCCTGGTTGTTGCAATCAAAATAACAAATCATAATAACTCATACATTAATTTTACTTACAGAGTTATTCATGAGTGCTTTTAAGCATCCAATACAAGCTGTGTGAATTGTACTTTCACTTAAAGCAAAAATATTTTTTATTATTTCTATAAAATATTTTTAAAAATCTAATTTTTTTTAATATTTTCTGAAAAAAATCTATAACTTATACTTTACCATGTTTCCCAATCCATATTTGCAAGAATATCAACAAGACATTGTAATCCTTCATTATTCAAAAACCAAAGAACAAAACTAAAAACAAATTATAACAATTAATAAACAAAAAAATAAAAGAACAAAACTAAAAAAAAAATTGTATTGAAATTACACTAAACTTTTTTTTTACTAAAATGTTGTTAAAATGAAACTTTAAACAAAAATTTTAAAAACCAAATTAATTTTTACTTTTTTTTAATATTAGATTTAATGTTTAAATTTTTTCTTTATTGTTTTTATCTAACTTAAAATATAAACCAATTTAAATTTCAATATTAACAATATTATAAATATTTATTAAATTATTTTGTGTACACTTTTTAAATTTCATAAGTTATATTTATAACTTTATAAAAAAATTAATAAAGTTAACCTCATTGGTTGAGTTCGTAAAGCTGTTTTCAATTCATCAAGAAACTTTGTTCTAGCTTCAATTTCTTCATCTGATCTTTGGTAATACAACTGTAAAAAGCTTTAGTTATAAATTACAAAAATAAGAAAACATTTAATATCAAAAAATAAAACCAAGTCTAAGCACCAAATATACCATGGGTATATATGGTGTATACTAATATTTTTTATTTCTTCATTTAATGTATGAAACCATTAAATATTTTTCTTTCCAACTTTCATGTATTATTTCATCAATTTCATGCAATTAATTACCTATATGATAAATGATTTTATTATGGTGATTAATTAAACACCCATTTATAGTACAGAGGGCCCAAAGGTGTAAATAGACAAAAAATGTTTTTTTTTGAGAATGCCTATGAAAACTATTTATTTAGAAAGTTAGATCAATTTGTGGACAAATAAAAAATTATGTTTCAAGCTTATTTCTAAGTGATGATATGTAATATTGAAATTTTGAAAGTGATGATATGTAATATTGAAAGAACATTTCTTATATATCTTAAATATTTAGTAAATGCAGATAGTTTTCATTTAAAATGGTTTTACCAAGATGAAAATTGGTAAACAGTTTATTTAAAAGTTATTTTAATTTGATTTGGAATATATTTTTGAATAAATTAATTTCATGTATAATTTATTTTAATTAAATTTTTTTTTTTTTGAGTTTTCAAACTTAACTAGATAATTTTGTAGTAAATTTGTGTTGTTTTTTTTAAACAAAAAAACAAATTAAACTTTAAGTTTTGTAAAAGTGCTAACTTGCCTCTACTTTGACATACATTATAAAAATAATTAACATTTCTTCATTTAAATAAGGGGAAATGAGGCAAGTCAGCACTTTTTTTTATTTACATTTAAAATGCTGATCAGTGATTTTTTTTTCTAAAAATATGAAATATAGAAATACTTTTTAAAAACTTTGGATTATTACTTAATTCACAAGGGTTTGAAAACGTGCATGAAATAGCATGGAAACACTATAAATGCCTGAAAGAAAAACATTTTAAGAAAAATGTATATTTATACTTTTATAAAAATCAAAACATTATTTACTAAGTAGAGGATACTTACATAACAGAAACAAACAACAATTTTTATTGTTTTGAACACATAACTGTGTGTGGATAAGATGAAAAAGAAAAGAACACAGGAACATGTGAATTGTATAAACAACTTTATCGCTAATAAATGTCCAGAGTAGAATGTTAACCAGTTATTGGATTACCTCTTATATAGAGTTAATACACAAAATAAGATATATAAATAAGATACTATATAAATAATATATAACAATATATAATAATAATATATAATAATATATAATAATAATATATAATAATATATAATAATATATAATATAACTTTATAATATATGCAATAATAATATATAATATTCTTAATAATAATTTTAATATATATGATAACGATAATTTTAAATATATATATGATAACGATAATTTTAATATATATGATAACTTAATAATATTCTTAATAATATTTTTAACTTTTAACTTACAACTTTTTTAACTTAATAATATTCTTAATAATATTTTCAATATATATGATAACAATAATTTTAAATATATATATGATAACGATAATTTTAATATATATGATAACTTAATAATATTTTTAATAATAATAATAATATATAATATAACTTAATAATATATAATAATATATAATAATATATAATAATATATATAATAGATATATAAATAAGATACTATATAATGTATAAATAAGATACTATATTTCGTGTTGACAATGCACTTTTTAAAAATTAATAGATACAATAAATTTTTAAAAAATTAATAATTTTATTAATAATTTATTAATAAAATTAATAAATACCTTTAACACAAATGAATTCAAATGAATGCTCTAATGCATTCCCTTACACTAAGTAATTAGCGCATTCTCTTACACTAAGTAAGGAGCAAATGAGAAAATTAAGATTTCTTTTTGCTTCAAAAGACATCTATTTTTCAACAACCAATAATTTACTTGAAGGAAGAAAAAAAACTTTGTACTACAATTAGTCATGTTTTGGATGCAAAACTTATAAAAAAAAAAATTGAGTTTTTAACCAAGGTAGAAAATTAATGAATTAATAACCAACTTGGGACTGATAAAAAATCCCATATATATATATATATATATATATACATATATATATATATATATATATATATATATATATATATATATATATATATATATATATATATATATATATATATGTATAGATATATATACATATATATATATATATATATATATATATATATATATATATATATATATATATATATATATATATATATATATATATATATAAAGATTTAAGCTTCATGCTATTGCAATCATCAGGTGAGATACAAATACAATTTTTACTGTCAAAATAATTTATACAAATAGAACTAGTTACTTAAAACTATACATAAAAGTTATTGTTTTACTTTATTAAGAATGTGTGTATCTAATCTTCGGGTTTATGGTTGCTTAATAGAAACTTATTTTTGTGAAAATATTTGGAAATCAATTTTTTTTTTTTTAATTTTGTAGCTCTTCTGTATTTTTATAAAGTAATAAAATTAGTTTTTCATATAAACAAGTAAATATTTTTTTGTTGGATTTTTGCAAGAAGGGGCTTTGTTTAGAATAGACCATGTTTACTCAGGTTTTTCTTTGAATTTTTCTTTAGTTTCCTATATATACTTTGAGAGTTTGAGTGGTTGCATTTGTTTTTTATTTTAAAATGATTGTTGTGTGTCATTAATAATTAGCGTGCTAATTATTGACAAAAGTCACATGTTGTGATTTTCTATTATTATAACGTTTTTTTATTAATTGTCGACAAGAGTCACAAGTTGTATTATATGCTATATAAAGCGAACAATTTTTTTTTGTAAACGTGAACTTTGTATATAAGTAAAAGAAATTGTTAACAACAAAAAAAAAAAGGCTTTTAAATGTGTCGAACAACAAGCTAACCGGGCATGTCTATTATCTCCGCAATATGAAGATGGACAGCCAAAGCGATTTATTCGACAGATGACTTCTTTCTTTGCCATTAAAGACTTACAAAACCATGGAAGAATTAACAGCACCGGAAGTTCCAGAGGATGTTTCGTACGAAGAATTGGTAACGAAATTGGAAACATTGGAAATAAGAAAATCATCATTAATCTCACGGTATGAGTTTGGAAAAATTTACCGAGGTACTGAAGAATCTATACAGACGTTCGCGCATCGAGTGATTCGAGCAGCTCAAGACTGCAAGTTCTTGCCCTCAGAGAGAGACGGCCGACTTCGTGACCAATTCATAATTGGCATTAATGATGGTGCCATTCTGCGTGCCATTCTTCGGGGAGATGATGCATTGAGCTTTGACAATTGTGTCAAGACTGCATCCGTGGTTGCACAAACAAGATTAGATGCGGCATGTTTATCTGTAAATGAAGAAGTAAATGCGATTCACCGGACGACTGGAACGACAAGTTATACACAAAGAAAGAAACAAATTCGATGTTACAACTGTGAATCCTTAAATCACTTTGCACGTGAATGTACCTCTTTATGCAAAAAATGCTTGCATAAACATGCTGCAAAAGACTGCTACAAACGTCAAAGAAACCAGGAAAACTTAAATGGGACGAGTTCGCATTAGGTACCTTTACAAGAACTCGTCCCGAAACAAGACTACCTACTATTGACTTGGTAATAAACGGAAGAAAAGCTACAGCGCTTGTGGATACTGTTTATTTGCAATCAATCATCTCCAAGAAGTTACTGCCGCCTGACTATAAAGTGATTCGTGTAGTAAATGTTGCAACAATGGGCAGAATAATTCGATGCGAAGAAGTTAGTGCTAAAATATGCCACCCAACAAACGGGTGCTTGGTAGATGTGGTGGTTCTGAGTGTGAATGAAGTAATAAACAAATACAACATGATTATGGGTATGGACTTAATAAAGACGTGTGATGGACTACAAATTGGCACTGGAAAACTGAAATTGTGTAATTCTTTTATTGAGTTGCCATCGAAACTTCGTGGGAGTGGAGACTCATGAGTAAAAACAGCAATGACTCGGTAGTGGATCTAAGAAGAGCATATTTACAAATTCATGTGCATAAAAGGCATTGGCATTACCAGACGGTCATCTATAAAAATCAGCGATATGCACTTACACGTTTGGGCTTTGGTTTAAGTTTGGCACCAGTGATGATGAGCTCAATAATGCGGTATGTTCTCCAACAAGATTCTGCACTGGCAAAAACAACAAGAGGATACATTGATGACACCCTAGCAACCGATGGAAATGGAAGAAAGCTGGTGATACATATGAAGAAATGGGGTCTTCATGCAAAAGCACCTGAATATTTTGGCAAAAACCCAGTTCGTGCACTAGGATTAGAAGTCACAGTAAATCCATTAACAAAGGAGATATTTTCAAAGAGAGGACGCGAGCTTCCTATTATTAAATCTGTGCTCACAAAGAGGGATATATTCTCATTATGTGGTAATCTGATTGCTAATCTACCAGTTGCTGGATGGTTGAGACCGGCATGCAGCTATATAAAAAGATGTACAAACGAAGCAGATTGGGATGAATCTATTACGAATAAGTATGTTATCAAAATGATGCAGGAAGTTGTAAATAAAGTCGTAAAGTGCGATCCGGCAAAAGGTGTATGAAATGTTAAACCAAATGCATCTCTGACTGTATGGTGCAATGCAAGTTCGCTGGCAAAAGGAGTTGTGATAACGCAAGGTGACAGAAAGATAGAAGATGCGACATGGCTCCGACCAAAGTCTGATGCAATGCATATCAATGTGGCCGAATTAGATGCATGTATTGAAGGTCTAAATATGGCATTAAAATGGAATCCAAGTGATGTCTGTATTAAAACTGATTCTCATAGTGTATTTAGTTGGTTAAATGTTAATTCGACGAAGACTTCAAATATTTGAAAAATTGGTCGAGGATTATGTCATAAATGTAACTGTTACATGGGTACCAACAACTAAAAATATTGCAGATGAATTCACAAGAGTGCCAACAAAATGGATAAAAAACAAAGTTGCAACACAAGAGTGTAATACCATTTATAAGTACGATAAACAGCAGATTCGAAAAATTCATTCACTAGCACACATGGGAGTTTCCAAGAGTATGGAGTTATGTATGCGCGCTGGTATCCACGTTACCAGAGACACAGTGAAACAGGTTGTCGCTGAATGCGATGAATGTAACTCGATTGACCCTAATGTGATGTTGTGGGATAAAGGAAATCTTGCTGTTAGCAAAGTATGGGAAAGAGTAGCCTGCGATGTTACTCATGTTGATTCATCGCTTTATCTCACTTGTATTGATCGCGGCCCAAGCAGATATACGTTATGGACACCATTAAGCGACGAAAGTGCAACTATGGTTGTTCAAGCGTTAGAAACAATATGGTCAACACTTGGATCTTCTTCTGAAGTTCTTCTAGATAACTCTAAGTCATTTAGATCTCAGCTTATGCAAACTATGGCTGCGAAATGCGAAATAAGGCTCATCTATCAAGCTGTTGAAAAACCATCGGGAAATGGAATAGTTGAAAGAGTTGATTGGACGGTAAAAAGAACAAATGCAAGAGTAAAATGTGGTATTCCCATGTTTGTATTTTTAATCAATAATGTTCCATCAAAACACGGCACACCTTTTGAAATATTTTGCCAACATCACAAACGAGTTCGAATTCCTAGAATCGATAAAATCGAATTAACACAAAAGTCGATGACAGAGTGTCGTGAATGGAAAGTTGGCGACAAAGTGTGGGTGAAACCCAAGCATATAACGCCGTGTACGCAACAATGGCTGAAAGGAAGTATAGTGGCATTGCATAATGGTTTAACAGCTGAAGTTGATGTCAACGGACATACGTTACCACAACATTTTTCTCATCTGCAGCATCATCGTGTAGACACAAAAGAAGACGATACAACAGATGATTATGATTCAACACTATTTAAACTTCCCGAAACGAGCTCAAAACACAATCATCATGTCAATGATGATCCAAATCTTCAAATAATTCTTCCGGATAATGGTAAAAATGACAATAGTACGGGCAGCGATCAAAACTATTCAGCAGATGGTGAGACAGAGTCACAGCCTGTTCAATTCACTCGCTATGGAAGGAGAGTACTTCCTAATCGGATGTACAACGATTACGTATGAGCTCTTGTTGAGCTAAGGGGGATGTTGTGTGTCATTAATAATAAGCGTGCTAATTATTGACACAAGTCACAAGTTGTGATTTTCTATTATTATAAAGTTTTTTTATTAATTGTCGACAAGAGTCACAAGTTGTATTATATGCTATATAAAGCAAACAATTTTTTTTTGTTAACGTGAACTTTGTATATAAGTAAAAAAAAAAGTTTACAACAAAAAAAAAAGGCTTTTAAATGTGTCGAACAACAATGATTGCTTATGACTTTCATATCTCTTTTCAAACATGGCCTCTGATTAATCAATATATGTTTTGCTGGGTGTGTTTGGGGAAGATGTTTGACATTTGTAAATTATAATTGTGGGAAATCCATTATCTATAAATTGGAAAAAGATTTGACCAACATTGATAGAGACACTTTTATTGTAAAGTGAGTTAACCAAATTACATTCTTTTTTCTTTTGAAGGTGTTTTAATTTTTCGATTGTAGTTCAAGTTGAAATTTTTAAAACTGTTTTGTTTTTGATGAGTTGAATATTTTTTTATCTGAAGAATTTTGTGATAGTTTGTGATCATTAATGAAGAGAGGGGTCTGCTTAAGAACTTATTGCGGGTGATTTGATTCAGTGTAAATGTTGAGCAGTTGTTCATTTGGTTTTTTAAAAGTTAGTTTACAACAAAATTACCACTCTTTAAATTGGTAATAATTAAAGAAATAAAAAACATTCAATTCAACATTTATCTAAAAACAATATACTTTTATATCAAGTAAAATAAACTATTTATATCCAGAAAAAAAACTTACTGAATTCAACGCATGTAGTTTTTTCAGATAATGATCAGGAGAAACAGAACATTCATTAGAACCCTGCTAATTAAAAAAAACAACATAAAATGACACATAATATCTAATCATTTTTATAAGTAAAAAAAATGTTAAAACTTTAAAGTATAATCTATGATATCATAATCATAGTATTTAACAAGAAGCACGGACTGTTTTCTATAAATTTCACAAAATAACTTTATAGGATGACTTTTTCTAGCACAGTCTTTGATAATTTGAATGAATTTGATGCTGTTTTTGGGTTGCTACTTGTTGGAAACAGACCTCAATTTTAGTTGAAATATTAGGTTGCAAAATTTATTTTATTCTAACAAAAGTGAAGTTATATTTATGTGTTTGTTTTACAAGTAACAATGTATATCGCAAAGTGAATCATCACCTCAATGCCAAACACAAAGACAATTTTACTGATAAGCAATTTAGTAAAGAATAAAAGAATCAAAGGTTAATTTTTCTTGTTAGATTTCAAAATTATTTAGTTCAGATTACAGAAAAGCTTGCTACAGATAAATGGTACCCTGCTATAAGCTGAATTTAAAAATTTAAAATCAAGTATAAATATTTCAATTATTTTAAGAGGTCACTACAGCTTAGTCATTAGTTAAAATGTAATCTAAATGTAACTAATTCATTTGATGGAAATGCTAAAATTTTTCATTTCAGATTCTACCCAGGTAGCAAACAATATTGGCGCAATATTGGTGTAATATTTGGTATCTTAGTCAAGATTGGCCAAGATATGCAGTATTTCACCAATATTGGCAAACAATATTTCACCAATATTGGCAAACAATATTTCACCAATATTGGCAAACAATATTTCACCAATATTGGCAAACAATATTGCACCAATATTGCCATATCAATATTGGCTAATATTTGCATACCAATATCATGCCATTATCATTTTACTAATAATGGAATGCCAATATTGGTGCAATATTAACATGTCAATATTGACCAATATTAATATGCCAATATTAGCAAAATATTGTTTGCCAATATTGTCTTAATATTGAGTTGTTAATTTTACTCCCATATTGGCCAATGTTGATATTTTTACATGTTGGTACGCATGCGTAACATCGGATATTTTTAATGTCCTTTATTTCTTTTAAGGTGATAGTGTAAATATCTTTTTATGTAAACAGGCATCCTTATATTATGAATATTAAATAAAAACTTTGGCATATAAAATTTGCCGAATGGTCACACACGAGCAGTGAACGCCTGAGGGAAGAAATGAAGTACATTAGAATAAAGGAGAACTATTTATTGAACAAAGCATATTTTGACAGTTGTCAAGACTTATTAATATTTTACAAAAAATCAGGTTTTAAAATAAAAACTTTAAGTTATGAAAAGAGAATAAGAGAAGTTTTAATTCAACAGGTTGAATCTTAAGAAGAAGAAAAAGTGGTTTTGATTTATGACAAATTGTATCACAAGAAGAAGTGGGAAAATATTGCTATACTGCTTATATCAAGATTAAAATAGTTTACTCTTATATGAAAATATTTTGAGAAGATCTGTAAGATATATGTTTTAATTATAGGGTCATTTTATGCCAAGTGAACCAGGGTCCAACATGGACCCCCTTAGATTTTGATGGAAGTTAGTTTATATCAATGAGAAAAGCAGTTCCTGAAAATTTCAGCTTAAAATATTTTGTAGTTCTTGAGATATCACAATTTGAAGTTTCTGATTTTTTCAAAAATTAAAACTATTTTAGCAAAAGCATATTTTGTTCATACTTTGAAGCTCTGTATTTTAAAAACGAAAATTCAGAAAACTTTCTAGTTTTTTTATTATATACAACTGTAGGCTTACTTTTTTAATACCTTGACATTGAATTTTTTAATTTTATCCATAATGGCTGCCTAAAAAATATTAAAACTTGTTTGCAGATATAAAAAATTGATTTTTGATGGGTCAATATACAAAATTAGCAACTTAAGAAGTGAAAAGACATATCTCTTTTAGTTTCTATATATGGAAGGCTTCCTAATATTTAAAAATTTGCTGATAACATATGATTTAGTAAGAAATAATGGACTCCTAAAAATGGTTCCTGTTAAAACTTTAAAAATTGTGCCTTCCCTGTAAATCACCGGTATCCTAGGATCAACACTGATTTTCATAATAAATTTTTTTTACTGATTTAACAAACTTTATTAAAGCGATTTCAGAAAAAAAATTAGTGGGTACTTATGGGGAAGTGACAAAGTCAGAGGAAATATATATGTATAAAAGTATATCATAATCATTACTAGAAATAAGTTATAAACTAAGACTGAATTAAACTCAGTTTTAAAATAGCCCTAGTTGCCTCCCCTCCCCCTGTCCATTTACTTTTTAACATGCATATTTTTGCACAGAACATTCTTATCATAAGAAGAACTTTTTTCTTGATTAATTTTATTAATTATTTATTAAACATTTTACCTTAAGCGGTGTGTTATATAAAAGCTGTGACATTTTGTTTATAAAGTTAGATAGTAATTATAGCACATATAAAAGTAGCACATTAGGTAAATAATGAAAATAAAGACTTTTTGTTTTATTCTTATTATCTGTCCAACACATATTTGTTTTTATATTACTTATTTTCTTACTATTTCATATTCTGAAATATTCTATTCATAAATTTTGTAAAATTTTTCCCATAGCATTTGCTATTCCGCCCTTCCCAATTTATTTGATTATCATCATTTAAATTTAGGTTACAGATTATACCAAGTGATAAGAGTTATTTGATTTGTCATCGCAATACACAAGTTTATTATGTAATATATATTATGTAATAAAAATATTATTACATAATAAAAAATCAATATAAAAATAGAACCATTCAAATTTGCTTTAAAAAAAATTGAATTGATCAAATTAATAAGAATTTTGCTATGTTGTTATATAATTTTGTTATTAGATATACTATTGTACAAATGTAGTATTTCAGTTTTTTCATGAGCTGATAGTTCATAGCATCTACCAGTTGCTGATTGTTTTTTTAAAGATGAAATTTTGCATAGAACATGCGTAATTGGAACGTAATTGTAAAGATGTTAATGATTTTGGTATAAAACAATGGTGGTTTCTTGTTCCTAGAATTGTTGAACAAGTAGCATAACATTCTTCTAATTTAAAATTTATGCAGTGTAATGTAACTGCATCATATGAAATGTATTGAAAATGTATTCATTTAATATTTTGTCTACACCAATCATACATTTTCGTAGATGAATTGTTAGGATCAGTTAATGATTTTAAACTTGTTACAAGTCTTTTGACAGTGCCCCCAACACCATCACAAGTACTCTTTCCATGCAATGTAGCAAAAAAATGCAATTCTACAGATACCTCATGATCTTGTTCATGGTGACATAAGCTAGATATGTTTTTATAATTTTTGTATTGTGAACTTGCACCATCACTGAAATAAATGCAATGATTGAAGTAGGGTATCAACTCTTTTAAATGTTTTAATACTTCATGAATGAAAAAATGAACTGAGTTTGTATTGTGTTGCAAATGATCTGAGAGGATACAAATACTTTTACATTTTATCTTATTTTCTTCCATAAAGTAAATAACAAAAGGATGCAATGTTGCTTGGCTGTTGTTCCAATGGAAATCTTGTATTGCATCTTGAATTAGAAAAATGTAATTTTCAGCAAAGTCTAGTAATATTAAAAGATGATTACTTGGTAATGTGATTTTTGATTTATGGCTATACAGTGATGGTCTCTTAATTAATCTATTTGTTGACAAGCTTTTTCAATAAAATCATCCACTAGAAGAGTTACTGGAACTATATCAGGTTTTTTGATTAAATGTGATTTCTTCAATGCTATGTTGTTCAAATATAGTAGTAAGATACTCTTTAAGTATGTCAGTATGTGAGCAATTATCACAATTGTGCAGCATGCAGTCTCAATTTGTTAAATCACATACAACTAATATCAAAAGGTTTTTATATTCTAAATTATCTGGTATTTTTAATGCTAAAAGTTTGGCATTCTGGTGGTACTCACAAGTGCATAATGAGCGGAGACCTGAAGCACCTCCAACAGGAATACACCACTTTGGTCTAAGTTCGCAAAACTTAGAAAATCCAATCTTGACATCTGAGGAAATTTTAACAAAATCTAAATAAAGTTCTTTTTTATTAAGTAATAGTAGTCTTTTTTGAAAATATTGTTTTTTACCATCGACTTGGATTGAGACTGTTTTTTCCCTGGACACATTCAAGAGTATTCATCTGATTGGTAGAATTCATTAACTTGATTTTTTACTTTCTTATTAATAGGTCTTCCTTCTTTTTTAGATGGTTCTGCCATTGTGCCATGCATTTGTTTCAAATGTCTTGCAGTTTTTATCATTCTTTGGGAAGCAGAAAAATAGTTTTGTGTATAGTCAATGTTCCAACTCTAAGGAACCAAAGTTAGTAATTTAAGTTTTTCTGATTTTGAAGAAATATCAAACTTTGCTTAATTAATTTCATTGGTGAGTCCAAGTCTTGTTTACTGTCACAACATAGCTATTTTGTTTTAGGTTCATCATTTATTAAATCGGGAGAACTTCTAAAACAGTTGCTATTTTCTTTTTGGTAGCAGTATGGATCTTGTTCATCTTTCTTTTTGCATAGCTGAGCCTATCTTTATGGACTACTAGTTATAGAGGTGAACAACCAAGGCTATTGATGCTTAAATTAAAGTTTTCTTTTGAAATATGATTCTCATTAAAATCATTGTCTTTATTTTTACATGAATCGCTTTCATAATCTTTTTTGTTATTTTTTATATACAATATTTTACGACATTCTGTACAAAGCTTATGACCAGGTATTAAATCAAATTCCTTTGCAACAGCAACACTGATTACTCTGACAGATTCTAAAAAGAAACAAAATGATAAAACATTAAATAAGCTTTTATCTTTTTATAATTGATTAAGTCAAGTTATTTTTAAATAACTTGACTTAAAAAAAATTTATTATTTTAATTTTGTGTTTGTTAAATCAC